AGGAGACTGTGAAGGATCATGACTTAAGGTTTAATACCATAAGTGGAGGTGACCTTTAGATTTTTAATGGAGACAAATTGTTGTTTGATGGGTAGGACCCTAGGATCTTTGGGCCTGTCGGCAGGTCATATGGTGAGGACGATGGTCCATTTTTGTTCAGGTGACAACCTGTGTATCCTTCTCTTTATAGTGCAGAAGGGGTCAGAATTAAAATAAGGCAATTGAAAGATCAAAGGCCATCTAGTGGCCCTAGTCATGTTCAAAGATCAGCATTTGTGCCAAAACCTTTTCAAAGGCCATTTATTGGCCAGAGGCAGAGGTTTTTCAGGCCAGGGCAGTTTCATGGCCAAGGGGTGAGGTTTCCATAGGCTTATCTCCCACTGCAACCAAGAATGGTGAAGCCACCAGTCCCTAACCATGTTTGTCGGCAAGGTGTAATACATCCAAAAATTTCTTTGTCAGGGTGAAATCGAAAGAGAGAAGGAGGATGAAATCGAAAGAGAGATTATCAAAACAATTTGATTTGGGTAAGAGAGAAGGAGAATGAAGAAAGGGGTGAGTCAAGCAAGACAGAGAAGGTGGTGGATAAAATAGCTAAAAAGATTCTCCTTAGGAGACAGCTGCAGGAAATATCTAAAGCTTTCTTTTCTGATGAGAAAAGTTGTAACAACTGACTTTGTGTGACTGCTCGAGCGCAGGAGTTGTCGCTTGCTCCTAGTATCTCGCAGGTTTATAGGCGAGATAGCTCGAGCAAAGGAACTGTCGCTCGAGTGTAAAATGTGAGCTCCTAGTATTTTCACTATAGCTCTGTAAAAATTCTAAGACTTTGTGTTTACTGCTCGAGCGATGGAATGTTCGCTCAAGCGGTTCATTTGTATTTTGGTTCTTCACTCGAAAGCAGGAAGTTTTGCTCAAGCGGTCAAGTCGGGGATAGCAGATTTAAAACATTATCAAAACACATATTTGATTCATTTTTTCATCTTCTCTCTCTCTCTCTCTCTCTCTCCCTCTCTCTCTCTCTCTCTCTCTCTCTTCTTTTTCAAAAACCCTAGTGCTAAAACACTAGATTTCATCTATATTTAGCAAGAATTCATCTTAGCTCCTTCATTAAAGTCGTTCTCCCCGTCAAGAGCTCCGTTTTGAACCGATTATAACGTGGTATCTCAAAACCTCATCGGGTGGACCTCCATCTTCCATTACACAACTTTGAGGTAGGACTGTATTTACCCTTGTATATCTTCATTTTGGTTTAAATGTGTGTAAATCTTAGAGGGTTTTGAACTATGGAGATGGATATGATATATATATATATATAAGCTTTGTATAGATGATGTGTTTTTGTGAAATTGATGGTAGATTAGGAAATCATCTGTGAGATAGTAAGTAAATATACTTGAATCAAGGAAAATAAACCTTAGAGTGGGAAAACCTCAATTTTCATTTGAACCCAAAGGGATTTTTTTATAAATTTGATGAAATGAATGATGGATAAGTAGGATTGGAAATTCCTTGAAATTGTTGACATGGGATAAGAAATGTAAATATTAAGAAATGTATTTAACTTGCCCACGTACCCAGTTTGTGTGAAGACGACGAATGTGGGGTTGTGATTGAGGTGCCCACTCAACTGGTTCGCGTGAGGGCGACAAATATGGGAATGTTGTGAGGTGTCCACTGACTAGTTCATGGGAGGACGATGAAAGTGGAAAGGCTTGAGGCGTCCACATGCCATTCGTGTGATGATGGAAAAAGTGTGGAGGTTGATTGTGAATTGGGGTTTATGAAATTTAAGGTTTAGATATATATGAACTCTTGGCTTAAATAAAGGCCATACATATTTAAATCAAATGTATATACACTTGGATAAAGTCATTCTCTACTGGGCAACGTTGCTCATTCCTATTTTTCTAACATTTCAGGAAATGAAGAACCCCAAACCCGCTTATGAAGACAAATGATGAAAAAGATATTTTTTCCTTGTTGTTTTGTAACCTTTTGATCTTTAGTAGACTTGGGATTGTAATGAAAACTTTTCAAATCCTTTTTATTTATTTTAAGTTTTATAATTTTGTTAGAAGTCTCAATGTAATGTATTCGTTTTGAAATTTTCGCTAGCTCACTGAACAGGGATATGTATTTTGTAATTATTTTGTAAACAAAGACCTATAGTTCAATGAAAAAGAGAATTAATTTGATTAGAACCATGTAAATGTAAAGATGTCATATTCGGTAATGTAATGTCATCTATTTAATTTCATGGATGATTGTATTGTTAATTTCTTCGGGGCGTTACAAATTGGTATCAAAGCTACACCAGGTCAAATACCTGGAGCTCGTAGGGAGTGACTTTGTCACATTGGGTTATTATGTTAGTATGAGGAGTTGATGGTTTTGTTTGATTAGGTGTTTATATGAATAGGTGTACATTCATCGAAGTCCCTTTGGAAAGACATCTGATCAATGCTTTTTTCACTAGGAAATCCTTGAATGTCGTGAAATGAGTTAATACCCTAGGAGAAAGATCTATATGTGTACTGTTTGTTAGCATGTTTAATTGTTGAGAATGATATTAAGACTTGAGGAGAAAGTCATGAACTAGTATATGAATTGTGATTTGATCTTGTTCACATCTACTTTTATATAGGATGTCTGGGCGTGTTAGGGGTTGTGGTAGGCCTTGTCAAGGTGGTACGAATATTCCGGCTCAACCAGAGATCCCTTCTCAAGAAGAAGGAGTGGGTCAAAACAATGTGGCCGCTCCATTGGCCCAAGATGCTATGGGAGTGCTAGCTCATGAGATGGCCGAAGCCCTTAGGGCATGTTTGATTGACAGGATTAGAGCATAGGATTGGGATTATTAATTCGTGGTCCCAATTATCCTATGTTTGTTTTGACATTTTGTTTTAGGATTATAAATCCAATGGATAATTAATCCAACAAATTTGTAGGATTATTAGTAATGGGATAGGGGTGGGATTATATATCCTGAATTGGGAAATAAAGTAAAAAGACTATTTTACCCCTGACTATATAAGCAAAAATGTAAGCCAAATCAAATCATCTCTACACAACAAAGACACAACAGCTTTGTTGAGAGAAGATCTCCACCTTTGTGAAGATCTCCATCTCGGTGTGTCGATTTCAACCTTTGTTCACCAGAAAATTCACCATTAGCACTGAAAAACTCTCATTATCGGTGAGATTATCATCTTTGCCGTTTATTTTTTTCTAGATTTTTATCTATTTTAACAATTAATTTTACATGTTTGGTTCAAATTTATGATACATCAATGTCAGAATTTATGAAATGTATTTGTATATATATACATAGATCTATGTATTTGTAACAATGTTTTGATGGTTTTGATATATTATATACTAGATCTGTGCAATGATTGATGGTTTTCATGTATGAATAAATATATATATATATATATATAGAGAGAGAGAGAGAGAGAGAGTTCAATCGTTCATTACTATCCCGAACCCAGAAAGTGCTGATTCTGAATTTAGTTTGATTGCATTTGTGTTTTTGTTTCTTCAAAAACCAAATCAACCCCAAAGTGCAAAGATCAGAATCACAAATCCAATTTACATAATCACATAAATTTAATTTCTTCTTGTTGAAATTAACCGTTCATGATTTTGTGTTTTAAGATGAAGTTCTTTTTTTACATTTGTTAAAATTCTGCCCACCATGTGTTTGATTCTATGTTCAAGTGAGAAACTCATCATAAACAATTGGAACATGCTCATGAAGTGGTTGATTATTGCCTATCAAGTGTTTGTAACTTTCACTTTGATTCTCACTTTGAAACGCTATGAAGTTTAGCTGCTATCTGTTTCAGTTCAGTTCTGGCTTGATCACTGGTAGTTTTCTCCATCTTAGAACTTAATTTTTAATCTCAAGTTATGATTATTAGTTTTCATGTAGACATTTCTTAGTCTCTTGAATGTTATTGTTGAATTGTACTTCCCACCTATGATATGACCTTTTTTTCTTGTTAATTTGCTTTGTTTGGTATCTGAGAAAATATGAGAAAAGAGGAAAAGGAAGTAAGAAAACAATAAGTTTAATCTTATTATGCGCCATACTTCTTATGCTTCTGGAGATTGAAAATCTTACTCTAAGCCTAATACTTCAAATTATGCTCAGTTGATCAAAGAGGAATTTGAGAACCAAAACATTAAATTCCTTTTTTTTTTTTTTTTTAAATCCTAGGTTTTCTTGGCAACCAAATGGATAATCAGCTCAACTCGTTCTTTTTTTTTTTTTTTTTTTTTTTGGTTGTTCAAATTCCACAAAAATGGGTGGGCTTAGATGAAATGTTTGTTGGGTTACTTCTTTTATGCGGAGTTTTATTAGGATACTGGTGAGGACAGTGCTTTATTGCATTTACGGATTTTGTTAGCAACATAACTGGACCTCAAATTTTTGGACCTCAAATTTCTCCAAATTTTGATCTTTCAATTTCACACCAGTGCCTTCTCTTTGTTGGACGTGCAATAGAATACTTATTTATTATTTATTTTAAATCCAAGGCATTAGTTTTTTTGTTTCAAAGTAGAAAGTATACAATACTATTATGATACACTCAAAATGCGAACCAAGTGTTTCTAATTTCTTTTTATGAGATGGGTTCAATTCATTTCAGGGTTTCTTTTCCTCTACAGCAGTCATAATGGGAAAATTAGTAGAAGGTTGTGGACTTTGATTTGGTTACTGGATCATTTCATTTATAATAATAATAATAATAATAATAATATTTCAGAGAGTGAAAATTTGTCTAAACATGGATTGTGATCCTCTCTCTCTCTCTCTCTCTCTCTCTCTCTCTCCAATTACTATGCATTTGTGTTCTCGTATTATATATGTTTGTGAAGGAACTGTTTCAGTACCCATCAGAACTACATGCTATTATAATCTCTTACACTAACTACATCTGATTTGTTAGTTGAAGTATTTGTAGATGGACAATAATGAATGCTCGGACAGTACGATGGACCTATTTGAAGCATTTGTAGCACTCCAAGAAGTTGTGTCATCTATTAACTATGTATGTGGTGTGTACATTATTGTACTACATGTTGCCTTGGAGAGGTACCAATCTAGATTGGATATGAAAAGATCACCACATCCCTTCCAAGCACAATTAGACTATTTGAATAGATTGGTGAAGGATAGCAATATTGATTGTCATGAACAACTCCGAGTGAATAGGCGCATGTGTCTTTGTACACTTGTCCGAAGTGTGGGATTATCTGATTCCAAATATGTCCTCTTAGAGGAGAAAGTTGCAATGTTCTTAAATGTGATTTCACACGACTATAAGAATCGCAACACCAAGTTCAATTTCATGCAGTCTAGGCAAACAGTTAGTCAGCTCTTTAATGATGTTCTTAAGGCTATTTTATGCCTACAAGGTGTCTTACTTAAGACACCAGAGCCAATAACTACAAATTGCACAAATGATAGATAGAGGTGTTTTTAGGTATTACATAGTTTAATTTCATTTTGATTTTGGGCAAACACTAACATGTTTAAAATGAATAACCTTATTTTATTTTGATCTTTGGTAGAATTGTCTTGGAGCTCTAGATGAAACTTACGTTAGGGTTCATGTTCCTACAATAGATAAGCCAAGATATAGAACATGGAAAGGTGAAATTGTTAGTAATGTCTTGGGTGTTTGCTCACAAGACATGCAATTCATTTATGTGTTACCTAGATGGGAAGGATCAACTTCAGATTTTAGGGTACTTAGAGATGTGGTGGATAAATCAAATGGTTTGAAGGTGCCGACCGGTAAGAATCTATATAGTTAATTGATGTAATCTTAATTGCCCAATTTTTAAAGTACTTAGACATATGAAACCCATACTTGTTTTTAGGTTTCTACTATCTTGTAGATGCGAGTTACACTAATGATGAGGGTTTCTTAGTGCCGTATAAAGGGCAACGCTATCACCTCTCTACATGGAGAGAATGGGGTATCCCAATGAATCCTGAGGAGTTTTTCAACCTGAAGCACTCCGTTGCTTGTAACGTTCTTGAGAGGTGTTTTGGGTTACTCAAGATTAGGTGGGCAATATTGAGAACTGCTTCGTACTACCCAATCAAGGCCCAGGGTCATATTATTACTACATGTTGCCTTCTCCACAACCTCATCAGACGTGAAATGCCAGTGGATCCATTTGAGTTCGAGTTAAATAACACTCCTTTACCTCAACCTGATTTAGGAGAAGAGTTCATCAATACAGTAGAGCCATCAAATCAATGGAGTGAGTGGAGGGATACATTGGCAAACATAATGTTTAATGAATGGCAAGCAAATAGAGGAGATGGTTGTCCTCCATAGTTGAGATAGTTTATTTAAATATTTTATTTGTAATGATGAGAATCTTGTCTATTTTCATAATTGCAAAATATGTAATGAGAATCTTATGTAGTTGAGATGGATTTATTTTTCAAGCTAATAAATTTTATTTGTTTTAATCTTTATTTCATGAAGAACCATTTGTTGCTTTCATGATTGCATAATAATATCTATATTTTAGGTAGATTGAGCAGTTGTTTAATATCAAGAGAGCTTTTTTTTTCTTCTTTTTTTTTATATATAGTTCATGGACACTTTGCAATCATATTTTTACCTTGTCTTCCATACTTGTATTTTGTATATTAAAATGAGCTATTAAATCAATAATATGTGTTGTACTCATTATTATAGGCATGGATAGTGTTGCTACCAATCGTTCTCGAAAGAAAAGTAAGGGGAAAGCAGATGCTGGTTCAATTGGGAGTCGTATGCAATGAAAGATTTGTGTAATAATCCTAAACGGAAGGTTGACAATGGGCAATTTGATTTGGGGTTTTATGGAAAACTTGAGAAGAGAATGGTCATGACCTTTCTTGGAAGTGACTTTCGTGCTTGTCCTCACATTGAGTCAACGATAAAAATTTAGAGGAAACACTATGGCCTTTTGTATGAAATGACTAAGCTTAGCGGGTTTGGATGGAATGACACTGAGAAGATGGTTCTTGTTGACAATGATGATGTTTAGGAAAACTTTGTTCGGGTAAGCTTTTTTCTTCTATTTTTTAGTGTTCATCTCATCATAACTACTAGATATCCCATTCATCTTCATTTCAATTTGATCTCATTTAGCTTACCTTTAATTGAAAGAGCTCTTCTTCATTTTCAGTATTATCAAAGAAATGTTGATAATAAGAGTAGAAAATAAAAAGTGGTAGGGAATGCATGTGTGTGTACTATTCAATGGCATTGATGCAATAGTTCTTTTAAGTACAAGTTGAGATATGGAACCTTAGATGAGACTATAAAGCAACAAGGGAATCACTCTTTTTCAGTGTAATTCATTTTACCACAATTCAATTCTCTAAACTTTGAAATAGCAAGCATTAATGTTGATTTGTTGAGGTTATTTCCAATTACATCTAATATAGACTAATGAAAAATATACATATTCACCTATTGCAATGTATTCTGGAGCAACATAACCATATGTGCCCATAATTCTAGTTGTTACATGCGAGTTTCCACCTGAGGGCCCAATTTTGCTAAGCCAAAATCTGAGATTTTTGCATTGAAGACAGAAGCTTTCAGAATAATTGGTTTTGAATATCTCGAGTAGCATAACACCAAAAGCATGCACATTGCTCTTCACATCACTGCTTCAGTTTAAACAAGTTAATCTTTCTCTTGTTTTGTATTTCAGGACATGTCCAAGTATATATTTACTCCCTGTACTTTTGTTTATGTGCTGCATGCTTGAATGTTCTTTCTTTCTTTTGAACTTGTGTAGAGACAACCAAGTGTGAGTTCTATGCAAAACAAGTCATTTCCCTATTACGAAGATTGGCTTGTTCTCTTTGGCAAAGACAGAGCCACTGGTGAGTTAGCTGAAGATCCCGTAGATGCAGTTGAAGCAATTGCTGTGGAAGAAGCTATGGGGGAGAAGGGTGATGGTTCTCCAGCTAAGTAATTCAATGTTGCTAACTTCGAGTGTTCAATGTCTACAAATGGAAATGCATCCAACTCTTCTGCCTTTAGCAATGGAGGAGCAAAAAGAGGCATGACTACTAAAGGAATTGCAAGTAATATTATTGTTGGAAAAATGGTGTGATAAGGCTTATTTTGGGCCAAGTTTGTAGAAGGGAGGAGTTATGGACAAAGTGAACCATAGCCTAAACCACCACACACGCGTGCACGCTCCGCCGAGCCGTGCCAGGCGCGGGTGTGGGTCGGGTCGGTTCTAATATTAATTTTTTGGACAAAATTCTTTTGAAGTTTTTCAAAAATTATTGCAAGAATTTAATTCCAAATTTGAATTTGAAATTCAAATTTTTGTCCATAATTTTGTGCCTCTTTTCTGAACCAAATTCCACAACAGATTTTTCAGCCCGAACTAGTTTTTTAATCTATTCAAATCCGGATAGATTCAGATTCAAAAATCTGGATAGTTAGCAGTTGCAGATCTGTTTGAATAATAATTGTACCTGTTCATTTACTTCTTCAACAGATTTATTTTCAAACAGATTTAAACTGTTTTGACAAGTTTATAACTGCCAGAAGCTGCCCAGCAGTTTACAAATTAATTTGTGTCCAGATCTATTCAAATTTTGAATTTGTATCTGTTCAAACAGTGTAGTTTCTGTTCAGTTTAAATGCAACACCTATTGGATTCAAAATTACACATGTTCGGTCCTATTTATACCTGGGTTGTTCCAGCATTTTCCATATTTGAAAAACAGTCTGCAAAATTTATTTTTGCTGTCTAAGTTTGCTCTTTAGTTGCATTATTCTTCATATAATTTTAGGGAAAAAATAAAGAGAGTATAGAACATAAGTTCTAGTTCCCTGTACAAATTTGTTTGGAGTGCTACTACAAATTTATAAAGATCATTGTATCCTAGGAGATAGACGCCACTTAACCTTAAGTATCGTAGCGGGGCGAATCTGTCTTAAGGACAGAGTGTCACACACTCGACTTGGTCTTTTATTTTTCATTCAGTTCGATCAAATAAATTTTGTAAGTTATTTATTTTATTTTGTTCGATTTAGTTTCAATTTATTTATTTACACAAAAGATTGTTTCAACAATCTTAAGACAAATTCAAATTATTCTGTTTACAGAATTTTTTGTTTGTTTCCTTTCTCTTTCTTCTTTTACAAAAATTATTTTTTCTGGATTTACAAAATAATATTCTGGTTGGAAAAATAAATAGTGATTATATACTATTTGAAAAATAGTAGTAATATACTGGTGTCATTAACAATTCAGAATATTTATTTGTGGAAATTTTTTTTTCAAAAATTAATTTTGTTTTTCAGAAATTATTTTTGAGTGTTCATTAATTAAAATTCTATTTTAGTGTTTTAATTATTGAATTATTACAGAAATTTAATTTTCTCTGTGGAATTAATTTGGTTAAATAAAATTTTATTTTATTTCCAAATTAATTGAAAAATAAAAGTTACATTTCTTGTTTCTTTTATTTTTACAGAATTTAATTATGTGAATTTGGTTTAATTTTCTGTATAGTATAAATTCTAATTATAATTTTGTTTTATAATTTAGAATTCATGGCTACTGAAACTAATGCCCAAACATGTACTAGTGTGGTGGCTGCAATTGCGCCAACCCCCTCTCTTGTTGTGGCAGTACCGGTAAATCACGGTGAGAAGCCATAGAAGTTCTCTGGAACTGATTTTAAACGATAGCAACAAAAAATATTGTTCTATCTTACAACTCTGAACCTGGCTCGTTTCCTCCATGAAGATACTCCTGTTTTGAAAGAGGATAAAACCGACCGGCAAGTGGTTACTGCAGTCGATGCCTGAAAACATGCTGGTTTCCTTTGTCGGAACTACATCTTGAACGAACTTGACAACACATTATACAACGTCTACAGTCCTATCAAGACAGCAAAGGAACTTTGGGAGTCTTTGGAGAAAAAAATACAAAACAGAAGATACCGGGTCAAAGAAATTTATGGTTGGCAAATTCCTGAATTTTGTGATGGTTGATTCTAAGACTGTGATCAGCCAAGTTCAAGATCTCCAACTCATTCTGCATGACATTCACGCAGAGGGCATGTCTCTCAGTGAATCCTTCCAAGTTGCAGCCTTAATTGAGAAATTACCACAAGGTTGGAAGGAATTCAAGAACTACCTCAAACACAAGCGCAAAGAAATGTCTTTGGAAGAATTAATTGTGCGTTTGAGGATTGAGAAGGACAACCGCAATTCTGAAAAGTGGGTTGGTAATTATCCTATGGAGTCTAAGGCAAATATGGTGGAACATGCTTCAAAAACCAAGAAACGAAAGTCTTCTGGAGAAAGTTAATCACAAGGCTCTAAATGGGGGGGGGGGAAATAAAAAGTACAAGTTTAATGCAAATGTTACATCTGTGAGAAAGAGAGACATCAGGCCAAAGATTGCCGTAGCAAAAGCAAAAACAAAAGAAAAACAAGTAAGAAGCATGCTCAAGCTCATATGACTGAAGTGAACAATATTTCCAATGGTGTAGATAACATCAATCTTTCTGCAGTTGTTTCCGAGGCAAACCTTATCGGAAATCCTAAAGAATGGTGGGTGGACACTGGTTCTACTCGCCATATCTGTGCTGACAAAAAGATATTCACATCTTATTCCACAGTGGACAATGATGAATAACTTTTTATGGGTAGCTCCTCAACTTCCAAAGTTGAAGGACAAGGGAAGATTGTTTTGAAGATGACATTTGGAAAGGAACTTACTCTCAACAATGTGCTGCATGTACCGAACATTCGCAAGAATTTTGTTTCCAGATCTTTGTTGAGTAAGAATGGGTTTAGGCTAGTATTTGAGAGTGATAAATTTGTACTTACTAAGAATGGGATGTATGTAGAAAAAGGTTACATGTCTGATGGGCTTTTCAAGATGAATGTAATGACCGTTGTACCCTCAGTTATTAATAAAAATACATCTTCTTCTTACTTGCTTGAGTCTTCAAATTTATGGCATGGTAAACTAGGACATGTTAATTATGGATCTTTACGTTGATTAATTAATATGGAATGTTTACCTAAATTTGACATTGATTCAAATCATAAATGTGAAATTTGCGTTTAGGTAAAATTATCCAAAACTCATTGTCATTCAATTGAAAGAAGTATGGAACCACTTGAATTAATTCATAGTGACATTTGTGATTTTAAATCAATTCAAACTAGAGGTAGGAAAAAATATTTTATCACTTTTATAGATAACTTTACCAGATATAGTTATGTTTATTTAATTCGAACCAAGGATGAAACTTTAAAAACTTTCATTCAATTTAAGAATGAAGTTAAAAATTAACTTGGTAAGAAAATCAAAAAACTTAAAAGTAATAGAGGTGGTAAATATGAATCACCTTTTGATGAGTTTTGTAAAGAACATGGAATAATTCATCAAACCAGTGCTCCTTTCTCATCTCAGCAAAATGGAATTGCTGAAAAGAAAAATAGGACTTTAAAAGAAATGATGAATGCCATGTTAATAAGTTCTGGATTATGTCAGAACTTGTGGGGGGAAGCAATACTTTCTGCTAATTATATACTTAATAAAGTACCACGAAAGAAAGTGAATCAAACACCTTATGAAATGTGGCATGGAAGAGTACCATCCTACAAATACTTAAAAGTGTGGGATGTTTGGCTAAAGTGGCTATTCTTAATCCTAAAAAGACTAAGATAGGTCCTAAAACCGTTGATTGCATTTTCATTGATTATGCTAAGAATAGTAGTGCATATCGGTTTTTGATTCATAAATCAGAACATTCCAAAATGTATGTAAATGCTATTATTGAATCCCGGAATGCATCTTTCTTTGAACATGTATTTCCAAATAAGACTGGACAAGAGACTAGTAGTAATAAAATATAGCGATCCCGGCTTTCCCTTTTGTGTTTAACTATAATCCGGATTCGATTTCGTAAGGGTGCCGTTGTCTTATCCTCTTTCCATCCCTTCCTCTTTGTGTTCGAGCTTTGGGTCGTGTTGGGCAAGTTGGGAATAAGTTGGTTGTGTTTTAAAACGTAGAATCGTCGCCCAGTTTTTGGTCTCTCCGCTCGAGCTGCGCTTTTGACGCTCGAGCGGGGAAATCACCCATCTAGTATTTCGTCTGCAAAGGTAGACGCTCGAGCGGGGTATTGGCCGCTCGAGCGGGAGCTTGTGTCTGACGCTCGAGCGGGGAGTTTGACGCTCGAGCGGGAACCATGTCTGTAAAAGTTATGGGAGCGTGCATCTGCCGCTCGAGCGGGGAATTGGACGCTCGAGCGGGGATCTGTGAGTGACGCTCGAGCGGGGAGTTTGGCGCTCGAGCGGGGCGACTTTTATATAAAGCCGAGATCTGACTTTTTTGTTCACTTTTCAACATCCTTTCTCTCTCTTACTTTTCCAAAAAGCTATTTTGAGAGTTCCTCTCACTAAAACCCTAACTTCTCTCTTAGGATTGATCTAGTAGGAGTTGTTTTCTCACCTTGGGCCTTTACAAAAGTTGTGTTGATCGTCGAGGGCTATCTTTTAATCTGAAAATTTTGGGATTTGGAGCATTTCCGTTTCTTCACCTCCTTCGTTGGGTCCCATTATTTGAGGTAGGGATAACCTACTCCATCTTATGAGCTTTGTCTTTGAATTTTAGCATTTTGATGCGTTGGGGGTTTGTTGGGAAATTTTGAGAAAGTTTGGGGCCTTTGTGTAATTTTACAAAAGTTGGGGTTTAAAATATATAAACCTATATGCATGTTAAGCACAGAGAAATGAAATTTATGTTGGGACATTGATGGAAATGGAACCTTAGGGTTGTTTTGTGAATTATGGTAGTTTATCCTAATTGGTTTAATTAATTAATGCATATAATTAATTGAAGAAAATGAGGAGTTGAATTGAGAATGTTGATATATTATCTATTTGTGCATTTATTTCCTGCTTAGAAATAATTGCTTTGGGTTACCGGTG